ATAATTTTTTTCCCTCCCACTACCCTAATACTGACAAAGGACTCATGAGGTACAAGTATCATCTTTCCCTGCAGGAATATTAACAGTTCAACCTTAATAAGTCTCTTATGATTTTTCTTTCCTGTTTACCTTTTCCATGGTTCACCTGAATCTTGTATTTGAAGGTCAAATTTTCTATTCAGCTCTGGTTTTTTCCACAGGAATGCTTGAAAGTCCCCTATTTCATTGAACGACCATTTTTTACCCTGAAGGATTATACTCAGTTTTGCTGGGTAGGTGATTCTAGGCTGCAGTCCTATCTCCTTTGCCCTCTGGAATATCATACTCCATGATCTCCGGACCCTTAATGTAGAAGCTGCTAAATCTTGTGTTATCCTGATTGTGTTTCCACAATACTTGAATTGTTTCCTTCTGGCTGCTTGCAATATCTTCTCCTTGACCTAGGAATTCTGGAATTTGGCTACAACATTACTAGGAGTTTTCCTTTGGGGATCTCTTTCAGGAGGTGATTGGTGGATTCTTTCAATTTCTATTTTGTCCTCTGGTTCTAAAATATCAGGGCAGTTTTCCTTGATAATTTCTTGAAAGATGACGTCTAGGCTCTTTTTTTGATCACGGCTTTCAGATAGTTCAATAATTTTTAAGTTTTCTCTCCTGGATCTATTTTCCAGGTCAGTTGTTTTTCCAATGAGATATTTCACATTCTCTTCTATTTTTTCATTCCTTTGGATTAGTGTTACAGTGCCTTGATTTCTCAAAAAAAAAAAAAAAAAAAGCAGGGGTAGCAATCTTGATCTCAGATAAAGCAAAAGCAAAACCAGATCTAATTAAAAGAGATAAGGAAGGAAACTACATCTTGCTAAAAGGTACCATAGACAATGAAATAATATCAATACTAAACATATGCACCAAGTGGTATAGCATACAAATTCTTAGAGAAGTGAGTTAACAGGCAGAAACAGCAGAACTATAGTAGTGGGATTTCTCAACCTCCCCCTCTCAAAACTAGACAAATCTAATCATAAAATAAACAAGAAAGAAGCTAAGGAGATGAATAGAGTTTTAGAAAAGTTAGATATGATAGATGTCTGGAGAAAACTGAATGGGGATAGAAAGGAGTATACTTTTTTCTCCATGGCACATAGCACCTACACAAAAATTGTCCATGTATTAGGGCATAAAAACCTCACAATCCACTGCAGAAAGGCAGAAATACTAAATGCATCCTCTTCAGATAATGATGCAATTAAAAGTACTGTAATAAAGGGCCATGGAAACATAGACTAAAAATTAATTGGAAACTAAATAATCCTAAAGAATGAGCGGGTCAAACAAATCAAAGATAATTTCATCAAATAGAACAATAACGAGACAACATACCAAAACTTATGGAATGCAGCCAAAGCAGTTCTTAGGGGAAATTTTATATCTCTAAACGCTTACATGAATAAAATAGAGAAGGAGGAGATCAATGAATTGGGCGTGCAACTAAAAAAGTTAGAAAAAGAACAAATTAAAAATCCCCAATTAAACACTAAATTAGAAATTCTGAAAATCAAAGAGAGATTGATACAATTGAAATTAAGAAAACCATTGAGCTAATAAATAAAACTAAGAGCTGATTTTATGAAGAACAACAACAACAACAACAACAACAACAAAATAGATAAATCTTTGGTTAATTTGATTAAAAAAAAAAA